GCGTGGGGCAACGCAGCGCATGACGCATACAAGATGGACAGAGACCTAGGGCTCCGCGTCGACTGGCCAACGGCCAAGGACAGGCATATCCAGCTCTTGCAACGCGAGCCCGGGCCCCACACCCAGCGCTTGACCGACGGCAGCGGCTGCCCCACCCCATGGGCGAAGGATGCCAAGATGGCGACAGAGGCGTCGCCGCAGGAGCAATGGACTGGCGCATCCGGCTCCGCCAACCCGCGGCGCGGTTGGCGGGCATGGGGCGCCTGGAGGCACCAGGGCGCACCGTGGACAGATACCGATTGGAAAGCCAAAGGCAAACGCCACCCCCCAGGGGAGAAGATCCACGCGCCGACAAGCGCGCACGATGGCGGGATTGACCTCACCAGCGGGCCAAGGGCACGCAGGGACAGGCCCGCCCGTCGGGGCGCCCCCGCCCTCAGCGACAGCGACCCCCCCAGGTGCCACCGCCCTCTCCCCGCCGGGGACTGTCGCCGAGCAGCGCCCGGCCTCGGCCGCAATATCCGGGGCATCTCCCGCTGGGGCGGGGACGCGCCCACATCTCACCCAAGGCGCTGCGTAGCTAGAGAACCCACACTGGATATGTGGACTTTGCCGGGCCTTCGCGCCCCCCCAACGGCTGGCGGGGGCGAGCCCGTCGGCCCCGCCGGCCCATGGCCAACGGCCGCCCTTTACAACGGCTGACTGCGCGCTTGGGACTTGGGGCGGACGCAGGCGCCCCCCCAGGCCCCATTCCCTTTGCTGTCTCCCGACAGCCACTTCGGTCGGCAGAGGGCAGTTGACTGGAATAGCCCCCCCACTGCGCGCCGCCCAGGTCACGGAGGTCCGCGCGCAGCACACTGACCCCCCACCCCCGAGTGCCGCGAAGCGGTAGTGTCGGAATGATAGAAGAGGCCATGGGGAAGCCAGTCAGCTCAACGATGCGGACTGCGCTGCCCACCCACCATGGGGGCAGGCGCCGGGACCGCCCAGCGCAGCTGCGAGTCTCTCCCCCACGAGACCGCCACTGCCGCGGGAAGTGGCTCCCCTCTCCTCCTGCGTCAATCACGTGTTTGTGGTTTTCGGCCGCGCCCCCCCTCCTCCTTCTCCTCTCCCCCCCCTTGCCTTCTCTGGGCATCTTGCCCGGCGTCGGAGGTCAGGTTCATACCTGACTACGCCCCGGCGCCCTCAGGCTAGCCGCGGATGCAGCGTTTTTCAACGGTCGTCGGCCGTTGCAGCTCGGCGGCAGCATTGGCGCTTGGGCCTTCGCGTCCTCGTCCTCGTCCATCGTTGCTTCCTGGCGGTGTCCAAAGACGATGGCTGGCGCACTGGCCCCACCATGGACATCAGCGTGGTTCGTGGAGTGGGGGCTCGGTTTTTCCCCCATTCGACTTCTGCCTATGTCCCAGCCGGCCCCGCGCGCGGCGGTGGGACGGTCCTCGCGCTGAGTGGTTCAGCCTTCAACGCGTCGACCTGGTCCCTTCTGCATCCGGTCTCCGCGCATTGCAGTGCACCGGCATGGGCCTGCGCGTTCTGGCTCATCGTTGCGTCCCCGACCTGTTACTGGCATCGGTGCGATGACGACACGCCGGCCCCCCCCTTTCAGCTGTGGAGCGGCCCGCGAAGTGCGTGAGCAGTTCGTGCCTGCAGTTCACCCATTCTCATCGTGGTCTGGTTGTGGCAGGTCCAGTCCTGGCCGCACCTCTACGCCTTCCAGCTGACGGCGGCTGCAGCGTACCTTGGCACCCTCACCCGTTGCCCGATAGCAGCAGTACTGACGCTTGGGCAGGCGCGTCCTATCATCGCGGTTCAGACTCGTGAGTGGTTTCGTGGCTGCTGGCTGGCCCGCCCCACCATGGGCAACGGTGTGGATCGCGGAGTGAGCACTCTGTAGGCTCCTGCCTCTGATGCCCCGTCTGTGCCGACATCATTACAGCTGTGGCACCGTGGCACTACCTGCCCGGGCTAGGTCGACCGCGCGGACTGGCGCCACCAGGGCGACTCTCCGCTCCTGAATGTAGAGCATTTTGCTTATTGCACGTGCGTTTGCTTTCATTGCATGTGCTACTACAGTTGCCTCTGTTGTAGTTATGCGAGCTGGCCCGCCGACACTGGCGGCCGCGTTCGCAAATTCGCACCGCTCCGCCGCCCCGGACGTCGCTCCCGCTCCCTGGCCGTCGCCTTGGAGCCGCTAGCCAAGAAAAGTATCCCCACCAGCAGTCTCAGTCCCGACAGCAACCCATCTGAGGCCTCGGCCGCGCTTAGTTGTCGCCTCGCGCGTCGTTCTGTTTGTTTTTTCCCGCGTTTCCTTTGCCGAACTAGTCTCTGCGTAGCCCGCTTTGACCTGACACGCCGCCGGCGCGCTCGCCCGCGGCCGCTGATTAAAAAGTATCCCCACCAGCGGGGTTCTGGCCGCCGTGTCTCGCAGGAGTGGTTCAGCCTTCTTGTCCAACCTGGCGCGCCCCCTGGCGGTCTGCCTCTCTGTCCTCTGGCGCCGCGTCACGACAAGGACAAATTCCCGTGCCTGGTGATCTCGCTCCCATGGTACTCGCACGTTGCAACTCCCCGACGCCTCCGCAGCTGGCAGCTTCCACCCCTCGGCGCAGTTCTGCCCCCAGCGCAGCTTCGGCGGCGGCGGTCGGTTTAGTCTGCCTGCGCGGCGCGCGCGCCGGCAATTGGGGTGTTCGCGGCCCGTGCTACTCAACTGACGCTGTCGGCTCGTTAGCCTGCAGCTGCGACTAAGAAAAAATCTCCACCAGCCCATTCAGAAACCGGGGGGAACAGGACGACGACGACGACGACGAGGAGGACGAGGAGGACGAGGACGAGGACGAGGAGGATTAGGACGACGCGGACGAGGATTCATGGAACCATCTAGAGGTATTACTGCGGCTGCTGCTGCTGCTGTTGCTGCTGCTCTCTGGGATTTCGGGGGGCCCTCTTGGAACCCTCTTGGTAACCGTGGAAGGGTTCTTGGGATAATTTTGGATGCCATCGATTACAGGATGGGGGGGTCCCCAACTCAGCTCCCCCCATCAGGAGCCGGCAAACCGTTTCTTGGAGCTCTTTTGGAGCGCTCTTGGGCGTTTTTGGAGCGGTCTTGGGGCCGGTTGGAGCATCTTGGGAGTCATCTTGAGCCAGCTTCGGCTATCTGAGCCATCTTGGAGGTCATCCTGGGCTCTCTGAGGCCGCTCGGGGGCCTCTTGGGGGCCTCTCGGGTGCCTCTTAGGGCCCTCCTGGGACCCTCTTGGGGCCTTCTTGGGGCTCTCTTGGGGCTTTGTTGGGAGCCCTGGAGCGCCTCTTGGGGCCATTTTCGACGCGATCGATCAAAGGAGGGAGTGTCCAGATCGAGGCCCCCCCCTCGGGGGCCACAGTCCTCGTGAGGGATGTCAAAAATTAGCCTTCCCAGAGGCCGAAGAAGGACTCTCCAACCGATCGCGGCCCTTCCAGTCCAGGCCCAGGGGAGGGGGGAGGGGGATGGGTCGAGTTAGACAGCTCGAACGAGCCAGAGGGGTCCGTCCACTCCCACCCGCCCTCCCACAACATAAGAAGCAAGTGCGTCGCGTCCGACGCCCGTCGCTCATGTTATATCGCGTGCGGCTAGACGTTCAGCGCGCGACATGAGCTGCGACCTCTTCCTGCCGCGCATTCAGCAACGTCGACGAGAAACAAGACCGCGCGCGATGTACGCCGCGCCCCGCTCCGGCCTCTCATGTTGCATCGTCGGCGACAACATGTCCAGCGCGCGAAATGCACCGCGTCTCATTCCAGCCACGCGCGTTGTACCGCCAATCGTTTCGTTTCTGCCGCGCATGGGCGAGGGGGAGAAGGAGGAGGAGGAGGAGGAGGAGGAGGAGGACGAGGACGAGGACGAGGAGGAGGAGGAGGAGCAGGAGGAGGAGGAGGAGGGAGAGAGAGGGAGGGAGGGAGAAACTGAGGAGGAAGAGGAGGATGCCTCTTGGAAACTCGCGGGGCGTCCTGGGAGTTGTCTGGCATACGCCTGACGGCCTCTTGGATATATCTTCCGGGTTGGATTGTCAACACAAGTAGGTGCTAACCTCACAATAAATCAATAGTCGTGTTCCCCCCCAGGACCTCCTGGACGCCTTGTTTTCGACCTCTTGGGGGTCTCCTGAGGCACTTACTTGAATTACACTTGTTTGAGGCATTGTGATTCACCGCCCGCCCAGCGCCTCAACCCGACGGGCTGCAGCGTCGACGACAAGAAAGTCCACGTTGACGAGCAGGCGTCCCCGCGCGATGTGCGCCGCGTCCCATTCCCGCTATGCGATTCGCAACGCCGACGAGGAGAAAGTACATGTTGGTAAGAAACACGTCGACGTTGCGGTGTTTCTTGACAGGTACGACGGGGGGTCCCGCGTAGGGTTGGCCAGGCGTCCGCGCGCGATGTGCGCCGCGTCCCATTCCTGCTACACGGTTCGCAGCGCCGACGACAAGAAAGTCCATGTTGACATGGAAAATTTGAATGTGTATTGTTTTTGATGGGTAAGACGCGACCATCCGCTTAGGGCCTCCCGAGCAATGATCATTCCGTTTTGTTTCTGATACACGCTTCGCAACTCGACGACACACTGGCGAAAAACAAGTTGAGCTTGTACTATTTTCACTTAGGACGGCGGGGTTGTCATCGGCCGGCTAGGCGGGGATGTGGGGGTGCTTAATCATAAAGCGTCAGGATAAGCACCCCCCCGAAGGGGAAGACGGTTTTGGGATGAGGAAAAAAATCATCGTTAGACCACCTGCGCCCACAGGGCTGGTGGGATACTGGGGTCAAAAAATTCGGTCATCGATCCCTAGTCGAACACCCCTGCTCCTGCCCCCATTCTGGCTGCCAGGGCGGGCAGGGCATGGACAAAAGGCTCAGCTTCCAAAAGCCAGAGTGCTAATCCGTGCCCCCGCTCCGCCCCCTCGTGGAGCTTTGGCGCGAGAGGGGCATGGCCAAGTTGCCGATCGCCCGTGGTTGTCTGCCGGCGGCCCGAGAGGACCTCCTCACGCAGGCGTGCGAGAGCGAGCGGCCCGGCTGCGAGCTGCTACAGGGCGTGGGCGGCAGGACGGTCAGCGCGCTGAGGACTTCCGGGCTGGTCCGGTACGACATCGACGCCAAGCACAGGATCCCAAACATCGGCCACAAGAACGAGTTCGACTTCTCCATGGCACCGTCCCTGTCAGACGCCGAAGTGGAGGCCGCTGCGAAGGCCACGTTGACGGGGGAGACAGCGGACGCCAAGTGGCTCGCCATCTTCCGTGATCCCCGCGACGTCACCATCTCTTCGTGCTACCACATGTCCAAGGGTTGCCCAGACGCGACCGGCTACGTCCAGAAGGCCACAAAGCGACATAGGTAACCTGTTCGGAGGTCCGCACGGATGTCTAGGATCAGCGCCGGGTCCCATTCCCGCCACCCTTCTTCAGCGCGGGGAGGCGCCCGGAGCCAGCGCCAGAGGCGCCGCCAAGGGTGCGGGGAGGGGGCCCAGCGCCGCCACTTGAAATCCGCGCGGGCCTCCGAGAGTTCATGCTCATGTCGTTTTCCGTCCTTCGAACGTCGGCGGCAGGATCGACAGGATCGCGAAGTGGATCGCACTCCGCCACCGCTTTTTCGACGCGCTCCAGAGGCTGGCCCCAGAGAGGGTGATGATCCTTTTCTACGAGGAGATGAAGAAGGACGAGGAGGGCACCATCAAGAAGCTTGCAAATTACTTCGAGGTGCCCCTGACCAGGAAGCAGAGGATGCTCATCTCTTCGCACACGACCTTCAGCGCCATGAAGGACATGGGCAGCGTCAAGGTCCGTGGTCGGCTGGCCGCTTCGCGAAAGGGCCAGGGGGGCGGGTCAAGAATTATTGGTTTACCCCGAGCGCCCCCACGTGTGCGCCGTGAGCGGGGACAAACAAACTGACCCTGGTGTTAAGTCGGGCCTGTCCCTCTACAGGAGGAGTATTCAAGAACAGTTGAAAAAATACTCCGAGGGCGTTTTTCTAACATGTTTGATCATTTGGGGGCTATTTCTTGGGTATTCGTTATTTGTCCTCCAAAATCCGCCTGTAGGGGGGCATGTCCGATCTAACCCCGGTGCGAAACAAAACGAGGAGGGGTGCACGCGCGATCTTGTTCGATTCGCCAGGGCTCCGGTCCTCGAAGGCCCCCCGTATGTCCCCGACATCGGCGGAGGCCTCCGGAAACCCCGAGAGGGCCAACAGAGCACCCCGAAGGTTCGACCCTCGATCTTCGATCCTCCTCCTCCTCCTCCTCCTCCTCCTCCTCCGCCTCCTCCTCCTCCCCCTCCTCCTCCCTCCTCCTCCTCCTCCTCCTCCTCCTCTTCCTCCTCCTCCTCCTCCTCCTCCTCCTCCTCCTCCTCCTCCTCCCTTCCCGCCCCATCCCAACACGTGTTGGCGACGGAAGAGCGGAAAGAGGGGGGGGCCGTACGTGGACATTACATTCGAACCCTGTGGCCCAAGATGCCCTCCAGACTCCCCGAAATTAAAATTGATGGCGTGGCGACGGGGGGGGTGTGAGTGGACAGAAATATTCGAACCCCAAAGCACCGCCTTTACTGAGATCAACATTGATGTCGGGGGCGCGGGGGGGGGATTAGAATCTCCCTCGAATGTGTAAGGGTTCGAATATATTGTCCATCTACTGGAGCACGCCGCGCCGCGGCGAGAGCGCGGCCTGCGAGGCGCAGCCTCGGCCTCGGCCCCAGCCGAACAGCAGAGGCCAGGAAGCAGCCGCAGTCGCCGGGGAACCGGCGGCTGCTGATCGGCCGTCGTCCTCGGAAGGGTCGGCCTGGCTGTAACTGAACGCCTCTCGTCCCAGGATTAGCCGGACAGGCCCTCCCCAGACGTCGGGCGTCTCGAAAAAATCGAGACGGAGGTTTTTCGTCGTTTTCGGCCTCTCGGGGCCCTCACCGGGCCTCGGGACCGTCAAAAAACGACTCGGGATGAAAAACCGGTCCCGGGGAAGTGGTCGGGAGGTCGGGGGCCCGTGTCCTGAAAAAATCGAGACATCGGATATCCGGGTCTGGAGGGCCAAAGCCGAACAGAGTCCGCCACTCCCGAGTGCCCCTGGGTTGCCCGAGGGCTCCCGGAGGCAGGCCTGGGCCCCTGCGGCGGTGTTCGGTGGAACTCGTCGCTGGCAGCAGCTTTTTTAGCGCAGCCTTCGCGTCTGGCCGCTGAGTTGTTACATGACCATGCCTCTGTCATTTGGGAGGGAAAAGACACACAAACAATGAATCGTCGATTCGGGAAAATATGGGGAAGTGGGGGGGGAAGACGAAAACCCCAGAAAAGATAGGAACAATATGTGGAATCCTTTTATTTGTGTGTACCTATTTGTGTGTCCCAGGGCCCCTTGATCGTTGCATGACCATGTCTCTCTCCTCTCCGTGTCCTCGTGTGGTGCTGCGCGGTCCGAGGTCGCCCAGGGCGGCGCCGCCTCGGGCAAGGTGCGCGAGGACGGGAAGCGGGAGAAAGCGCGCACGCAGCACCGGGCCCTCCCCCCCAGCCGTGGCCCACCCGGGGCCAGGCCTCGGCGCACACCCGCGCCGCCCTCGGGGCATCGAGCGGCCGGCCCCCCCCTCTGGGCATCGAGCGGCCGGCCCCCCCCTCTCCTCCTCGGGCAAGGTGCGCGAGGACGGGAGACGGGAAAGCGCGCACGCAGCACCAGGCCATCCCCCCCCAGCTGTTGCCCACCTGGGGCCAGGCTTAAGTCGGGCCTGTCCCCCTACAGGGGGATTCTGGGCGACAAATAACAAGTAGCCAACAAATTCACCAAAATGATCAAAAAGATATTCAAAAATCGTCCCCAGACTATTTTTTAACTCTTTTTGAATATTCCTCCTTTGGAGGGACAGGCCCGACTTAAGGCCAGGCCTCGGCGCACACCCGCCCGCCCTCGGGGCATCGAGCGGCCGGCCCCCCCCTCTCCTCGGCGGAAGGGTCGGGGGAATCAGAAGCATCGAGGGCGGTGGCGGTCAGCGTGTGGGATGCCATCGCGTAGCGGATTCGGGGTTCCTGGAGCGGTCCACACGGGATCCAGGGTCCAGCGCACCCCGGCCTGTGGCAATGGGTCCACCGCCCCCCCCCCCAAACCCTTGCCCGACCAATGGGTCCTCCATCCCCTGTGATTGTGGTGCGGTGCAGTGGTGGGGTTTGGGCTTGCGTGCTTGGGTGTGCGCCTGAGTTGGTGGGGTCTGCGCGCGAGCGTGTGCCCGAGCGTGTGCGCCCGCGTGTGTGTGTGAGTGGGTGAGCGAGTGAGCGAGTGAGTGGGTGAGTGAGCGAGTGAGTGAGTATCGAAGTGTGTGTGTGTGTGTGTGTTTGTTTGTGTGTGTGTGTGTTTGTATGCGTGCGTATGTGGGGTGAGTATTCGTGTGTGTGTGTGCGTGTGTGTGCGTGCTTGAGTGTGTGTGTGCGTTTGTGTGTGCGTGTGTGGGCGTGTGTGCGCGTGTGTGTGTGTGTGCGTGTGTGTGTGTGTGTGCGTGCGTGCGTGGGTGTGCGTGTGCGCGTGTGTGTGTTTGTGTTTGCGTGTGTGTGCGCGTGTGTGTGTTGTGTGTGTGTTTGTGTGTGCGTGTGTGTGTGTGTGCGTGTGTGTGTGTGTGCGTGCGTGTGTGTGTGTGTGCGTGTGTGTGTGTGTGTGTGTGTGTGTGTGTGCGCGTGTGTGTGTGTGCGTGTGTGTGTGTGTGCGTGTGTGTGTGTGTGCGCGTTTGTGTTTGTGCGTGCGTGTGTGTGTGTGTGTGCGTGTGCGTGTGTGTCTTTGCGTTTGTGTGTTTGTGTGTGCGTGTGTGTGTGTGTGTTTGTGTATGTGTATTTGCGTGTGCGTGCGTGTGTGTGCGTGTGTGTTTGTGTGTGCGTGCGCGTGTGTTCGTTTGTTTGTGCGCTTGTGTGTGCGTGTGCGTATGTGTGTGCGTGTGTGTGTGTGTGTTTGTGTGTGCGTGGTTGTGTGGGTGCAATGTGTGCGTGTGTGTGTGTCTGTGTGCGTGTGTGCGTGTGTGTTTGTGTGCGTGTGTTTGTGTGCGTGTGTTTGTGTGCTTATGTGTGTGTTTGTGTGTGTGCGTGTTTGTGTGTGGTTGTGTGTGCGTGTGTGTGCGTGTGTGTGTTTGTGTGTGCATGTGTGTGTTTGTGTGTGTTTGTGTGTGTGTTTGTGTGTGTGCGTGTTTGTGTGTGTTGGGGGGGAGTGGCGCCCAACGCGCGCCTTTGGCAGAACCGCTAGATTACGCTGCTTTGCAGGAAAGTTCATTGTTCACAAACGTGTTGTGTGTGCGTCTCCCGTTCACGTGGTGTCCCGGCGCCTACGGCGAATCACCGCCGCCCCCTGCTTGTTGGAGTCGCACATGTGGCCGAGCGTTGTGGCAAGAGCTCTGCCAAGCTATCGGACCATGTATTCCCCCAGCCGTTGCGGAAACCCTCCGGGAAACTTGTGGGGGGGACGGCTGGGAAGATCAGGAGGAGGAGGTGGAGGGGGCATCTTAGGAGCCTCTGGGGGCACTCTTGCTCGGGAGCCTCTTGGAGACATCTTGGGGGCCTCATTGGGCATATTGGGGACCTTTGGGGGCTTCTCGGGGGCCTCTTTGACCGTCTTAGGGCATTCCTGGCACGTCTGACGCCGTCGGAAGCCGTCTTGGGGGCCTCTCTGGGCCGACTTGGGGCCCTCTTGGGGTACTCCAAGGCCGTCTTGGAGGCCATCTTGGGCGTCTTGGAGGCCTCTTGGGCCGCCTTGGGGCCCTCTTGGGGCCGTCTTGGGGGCCTCTTTGGCCGTTCTGGGGCCATGTTGGAGGCCTCTGTGGCGATCTTGGGGCGATCTTTGGGGGCTCTTGGGCCGCCTCGGGCCGTCGGGAGGCCGAAAAGAAGCACATGCCATCATCGTCCAAAAACCTTAGGGGAATCTATGATGTTGGCCTCTTCGAGCCTTCCTGGAGGCTCTCTTGGAGGCCTCCTGGGCCGTCTTGGAGACCTCTTGGATACCTCTTGGGGGCCGTCTTGGGCCATCTCAAAGCCATCTTGGCCCGTCTTGGTTGGCTCCTGGCCCGTCTGACGTCGTCGGAAGCCGTCTTGGGGGCCTCTCTGGGCCGACTTGGGGCCCTCTTGGGGTGCTCCGAGGCCGTCTTGGAGGCCATCTTGGGCGTCTTGGAGGCCTCTTGGGCCCTCTGGGGCCCTCTGGGGCCGTCTCAGGGGGCCTCTTAGGCCGTTCTGGGGCCATGTTGGAGGCCTCTGTGGCGATCTTGGGGCGATCTTTGGGGGCTCTTGGGCCGTCTCGGGCCGTCGGGAGGCCGAAAAGAAGCACATGCCATCATCGTCCAAAAACCTTAAGGAAATCTATGATGTTGGCCTCTTCGGGCCTTCCTGGAGGCTCTTGGGGGCCGTCTTGGGCCATAGTAAAGCCATCTTGGCCCGTCTTGGTTGGCTCCTGGCCCGTCTGACGTCGTCGGAAGCCGTCTTGGGGGCCTCTCTGGGCCGACTTGGGGCCCTCTTGGGGTACTCCAAGGCCGTCTTGGAGGCCATCTTGGGCGTCTTGGAGGCCTCTTGGGCCGCCTTAGGGCCCTCTTGGGGCCGTCTTGGAGGCCTCTTAGGCCTTTCTGGGGCCATCTTGGCAGCCTCCTGGGGCGATCTTGGGGCGATCTTTGGGGGCTCTTGGGCCGTCTCAGGCCGTCGGAAGCCGTCTCGGGAGCCTCTGGGCCGAATTGGGACGTTCTTGGGGCTCCTCGGGGCCATCTTGGGGGCCTCTTGGGCCGTTCTGGGGCCATCTTGGAGGCCTCTGGGGCGATTTGGGGGCGACCTTCGGGGGCTCTTGGACCGTCTCGGGCCGTCGGGAGGCCGAAAAACAAAAACACAGAAAAAAAAAATGCCAACATCCTCCAACAACCAATGGAACAACCATGATGTTGGCCTCTTCGGGCCGTCCTGGAGGACCTCTTGGGGGCGTCTGGGATCGTCTTGGGCTATCCTGGAACCAGCTTGGGCCGTCTTGGAGGCTTCTTGGGCGAACTTGGAGGCATCTTGTGGACTCTGCTGGACCGTCTTCGAGGCCACCTTGGGCGAATTTTGAGGCCATCCAGGCCGTCTTGGAGGCCATCCTGGATCGTTTCGGGTGACTTTTTCAGGACATTAGGGGTAGTTTGGGGGCCTTCCGCGTAGCCAGCGCGTCGGGCCGAAGCCCCAGGGGGGGGTCCTTGAACATCGATTTCAATATCGCAATTTTTTGAAGATGTCTCGTGACAAACGGTCATTATGATCACAAGGCGTCTTGGGCTAGGATCGCCAAGATCGCGATGTGTTGAGGATGTCCCTAGCGAAACGGACGTTTTGGGAGACGTTGGTGGCGCAGCGGGCGGGCCATGTTGGGTGGCCGGCGCGCTCGGCCGGAGCCCCAGGGGAAGTTTTCTAAAAAAGAACCAGAACAAAACCGGTGGGATCAGCACGCCAGGCACCCCTGTCACACAGGGGGCGGCGGATCTCATGGCCTTTGGCCCATCCCGCCACTGTGCCTGGGTTTTGGGTCTGAAGCCTACTGGATGTTCGTTGGGATCTCGTGGGGGACCTCTCGGGGGCCTCTTGGAGGCAGTTTGAAGGCCTCTTGTGAGCCGTTTTGGGGTCTCTTGGGGCCTCTTTTAGACCTCTTGGGGGCCTCTTTGGGCCTGTTGGGGGAGCCTCTTGGGGTCATCTTGGGGCCTCCTGGGCGCCTCTTGCCGTCTGTGGGCCATCTTGGGCGGATTGGGCTTGCGGCGACTCGGGGCCATTTTGGGCCGTCTTCGTGGCCTTTCTCTTGACCAGTCGTGGGGCCCTCCTGGGCCCGCAAAAATCACGCGCCACCATTTGGCAAAGCCCAGGGGGCACGCGACAAGCCACAAGAGATGTCGGAAATGTGGGCCCGGGCCCCTTGATGGACTCCTCAGGACTGAGGACTGAGGCCCAGGGGGCTGGGCACAGGACCAGAGGACACGCCCACTCCGTGCCCAGCGGCACGGTGGCGGATCTCCACGTGGAAGCGCAGACAAGTCCTCGGCCGACTTGCTTCCGTACGCCCCTTCGCACTGTTGCCCGCCGCTCTCCCTTAGATCCCGCGACTTCGCTTTGCCGCGTCGGCGAGGCACCTTTGCAATCAGGGCCTCGCGCCACAACAATCATCAACGCGCTAGTGGACTACAGCGCCGGCGGAGGAAACCATTGTAAGTACGTATGTGTGCGCGCGTGTGGGCTGCTCATCGTCGAATTCTTCGACGTCTGAGCGTCCCTTCTTCCTCTCGACCGTCCCCCACCCTCTTTGCCCGCCGGCCAATTCGCTAGTTAGTGTCCATTTCTAGCTTCTCGCTGGAGCGGAATTCGCCGTTTCACCGCTGACGAAAAAAAGACGTTTGTTAGTGAATAGACCCAGGAGGCGCCAGACCCTGGAGGATTCCTTATCCAATGAGGGCGGTGGTGATATCCATGGCCGATCCACGATTGGAGTTCCACTGGCTTCGAGGCCCTGGATTCCTTATCTAAGGGTCCCTCATCCAATGCCTCCGCCGTACCAGCGATTGCACGTCGCCGCGTCGGGAAGGAAAAAAGCGTGCGCGAGTGCTCGCGTGCTGCACGCGAGCGTGCGTGCGTGACGTGCCTGCGCGCTCGCCAACCCCAACACCCGGGGGGGGTGGGCCCAAGGAGCCCAGGGGCCCGTCCCATTTGGGGGGAGGAGGAGGAGGAGGAGGAGGAGGAGGAGGAGGAGGAGGAGGAGGAGGAGGAGGAGGAGGAGGAGCTGCGGAGGGAGGGGGCTGCCCTCGACCTTGGGACCTGGACCCTTCGAGGATCGAAGGAGCCGTCGTCTCTTCCGCGGCGGATGGCGGCGGAAGGTCGGCGGAAGTAAAACGAGACCGCCTCCGCCGGCGGAAGCCAGCGGAAGAGCGGCGGAAGGCGGCGGAAGTAAAAGATGCGCCCCCAAGAGGTGAAAGCATATTTGGGTTCGGGGTTTCCGGAATCGGCCACATGACTGAGGTTAAAAGAGCCCCCGACCCTAAGAACACAATGAAGACGTGGCCTAACTTAGGCCCCGTCTTTGCATACGTTATAGTAAATATGGGAGGCATGGTTTGATACATCTGCTGAAAAGGCCCCCTGCTCTTACTGTTCTGGGCCTCCTTACTTCGTCCCAAAGGCTTCCTCGTAGGTGCCCTTTCGTTGCTAACCGACACATGAGCGACATAAGCAGATACATCAGCCGCTCAAGCTGCCCGCATAAGCTGGCGTATAGCCGCATTGGCTACCTGCGCTGGCCATCGCGCAGGTCTGCCACTCCTCGGGCCTCCTCCTCATTGGGCCTCCTGCCTCCTCCTGGGACCTCCTGGGAGCTCCTGGAGCTTCCCGCGGCGTCCTGGAGCCTTCTGGGGCCTCCAGGGGCCTCCCCGGGCACTCTTCCTTTTCCTGCTCATCCATCTCCTCCTACTCCTTCCGCCTCCTCCTCCTCCTCCTCCTCCTCCCTCCTCCTCCTCCTCCTCCCTCCTCCTCCTCCGTCTCCTCCTCCTACTACTACTATTCCTTCCTCCTCTCCTCCTCCTCCTCCTCCTCCCTCCTCCTCCTCCTCCTCCTCCTCCTCCTCCTCCTCCTCCTCCTCCTCCTCCTCCTCCTCCTCCTCCTCCTCTCTTCGTCGCGCATGCCCTTCGCACAGCAAGGCCTGGCCCCGGATGTGCTTGTGGATGCCCCCGGCGGTGGTGCCACACGTTCTCTCTCCCCGCGAGGGGGCCAGCTGCGGGTACGCCAAGGAGCTCAGCGCCGACGGCGCGCAGCGTGTCACCGCAATCATGCGCAGGACTCGAAGAACAAACAACGGCATAAGCATAAACTTTCGACGGCCCTCGCGGATGTCTTGGATCTGCGCTGGGGCCCCCTGGCGGCGCCTCCGCGCCGCCCCTGGCGCGCCCCGCGCGCCAGGTAGGGGGGTCCATCACAGATCCGAGAAATCCGAGAGGCCGTCGAAAGTCTGTGTTTATGCCGTTGTTTGTTCCTCTAGGGACCTGAGCCCGGCCCTGAACGCAGTCTGGAAGTGCTGAGCTTTCGGGGCCTTCCTCCTTCCTCGAGCTCTAGGCCTCCCACATGGGGTCCGAGCAGATGGGGTCGGAGGATCGCGCCCGATGCATCGGCGAGGCGGCTCGATGTGGCGCCCGATTATCTCGTCGCCGACGCGTCGCCGACGTCGCCGTTGCATCGTCGATGCATCGTCGATATATCGTCGATTCATCGGCGATGCGGCGCGATCCCACGACCCCATCTACTCGACCCCATCTAGGAGGCCTCCACGAGCAGTTTCGAGGATCGGGCCTTCTGGGCACTTCTGACGCCTCGACTTCTGCCTCTGCTCCGCAGCCTCGCCGCCCAGCTTGCATCTGATTGCACGATGGCGGAGGGAAGAACAGCACTGCCGAGGGCGTCGCCGCCGTCGCCGTCGCAGTCGCAGGGGCCGTACTGCGCTGCACGAGCATTCGTTGTCGTTGCTGGCGTCGTCGCCGCCAACGTCGCCGAGGCCATGGTGGTCAGCGCGAATCATCGAGCGCGCTCCACTACTCGCAAAGCGCCTACTCGCCAAGGACAGAGAAAAGCATGTCTCCCTCTAAATGATATCCGTAAATCACCCTCGGCGGATCCAGGCCACTCGCGAGTAGTAACTTTCCCAGAAGTGGGACGCGCTTGGACAGCGGAGGAGAGGGCATCGCAGAACGAGCGGCGCCTGCGCGGGGCGAAGTCCCGCGCGAGAGCACTGTCACCGTCGGCAGCCCCAGACCCGTATCGGGTCGTGACAAAAATACGGCGGGATGTGTTGACAGTTCTCAGTCGGCGGCGAGCGAGGGGGGGAAGTGAGAAGGAGAAAGTCTTCCCAGAAGGCGGCGGGACTTAACAGAAGCCTTCGCGCCTTCTGAGATGCTTTTTGACTTCGTGGAAGGCCGGGGGACTTCCGAGCCTTCTGAGAAGGCCCGCCCCCTTCTCACCTCCCCCCCTTCGCTCGCAGCCGATTCAAGTGAAAAGAGCGAGTATGTTTCACAACTCAGGGACTTCTTTTGGCACTGCAGGACTCCAGCAACCCTGCACGTAGCCTCGACGCTTGAGCGCGTTGTGCCAAACAGCTATAGAGGCGATGGCAATGCAACATGATACGAAATGTACAGACTTCGTATCTTCTGACTGGCCTATGACTTCTGGCATCTTTCGCCAAATGACAAGTATGACAATCAGCCGCCGCCAACCCCAACCAACCTCCATGTTCGCTACCTCGTGACAGCAATGCTGTTGCTCCCAGGGTTCCTGTTGAACCCCACGAGGGTGTGAAGCAGATGACTCGAACCAAGTCTGAACAAGATTCTGGGCACAAGTGCGTCCCCGAAAAAAATCACCTGCTAGTTTCAATTGTTTGCCAAACCCAGCCGACTCCCATTCCTTGTAGAATGCAAAAATCAGAAAGGTCTTTTGGCGTCTTCTTATACACTCGGGGGAAGATTGGAGAGTGTGCACTAGTACATTGAAACCGCTCGTTGAAAACAACATCTGGGCAAACGCATCGATCTCAGCCTTACTGGTTTTTGTCTGCAGCTGAGAACCTTAAAACGGTGCACGAGAGCACGGGGCCATGCTATGTGTACATGTACGGGGTTTGCGGAGGACAGGAGGAGAGGAGTGAATATAGACGTAGGCTTCCTGTACACGTAGTAAGAAAGCCTGCCTGTGCGCCGCCATTCATCATCCTTCCGAAATTCAACATCCAACATGTGTATGTCGCGCTTCGTGTAGCATTCGATCTTGATTTTGAAGAAACTCGCCATCTCTTTGAAGCGCCGCATGAGTTCGCCATGCGCTCTGCTACATGTCCGACAGTCAAACATGATCAACCCATCGTCTTTATACCTCCCGTAACACTTTATCCCAAAGGTACGTTGCACTTCAGCTTGTGTCGCGTAGCCAGCCTCGACCAGAGCGAGAAAAGCTGAGTCGGCAACCTCCCCGGAACACAGCAGTCCCATGCCTGTGCCTAGGCGCACTTGCCAGGCGCGCTCTTCCCCAGGGAGTAAAATCAACTGATTCCTGAGAATGCTCTGCAGGAGGATACAATAGAGTTGCTTTGTTGGCTCGTCGTCCCCGAAAATTTGGGAAGAGAGGTTGACGAGCCGGTCGTGGCTGCCAGACATAAAGAAATGTGTGATGTCGAATTTCATGAAAAAAGTCACCCTCTGCAACGGGAACCTTCGATATCTTTCTTATTAAATCCATGCTGTCTTTGAGGATGTACTCCTGCCGACGCAACAAGGGAGTGATGAGCGAAGCAATGTACTTCATTGCTCCCGTCATGGGATTCCCCGTGCTGGCATGGATGGGTCTCAGCGTCACTTCGCCGTCGTCGTTGTGAGACTTCACAGTCTTCTTCAGTATGGACACCATGCCTCGGTACCCATGCTGGCCCCATGAAAGGATCGAACTAGCAAAGCGGAGGTCGCCTATCAAGCGGCTGGCGGCCATGGCGCTCTCCCGAAAATCATCAAAGTATTCCTGTGGGGTGTCCTGAGTGAAGTTCACGTCTCGGTAATTGGGGCCATTCAAAATCGATAGCTGCTGTTGAATAAAATCGCTCTTATCGGCCAGACAATATCCACCATCTTTGTCTGTGGATAAAACTCCAACAACTCCGTGTCGTAGGGCTTCCATGGCAATTTTGTGATACCTGAAATATTCGTGACCTCTCGCCGCCTCTTCAAGAAGCGCCCTCTGGCCACCCGGCATGCCTGCGAGGCCACGAGACTCAGCATTTGTTCTTGCTTCTCTGGAAGGGGGTGAGGGCAAGTACTGATTACACGTTTACGCATACGGAACTGCCACCAGGGATTATCGTCTTCGACGTCCCCAAAATAGCATTTCCAACGGGCACGGTGATACCAATTAGACACAGCCTGGCCGATTGATGATAAACTTGGCGCGCGAGTAGTAGCTTTTCCAGAAGCGGGACGCGCTTGGACAGCGGAGGAGAGGGCCTCGCAGAACGAGCGGCGCCTGCGCGGGGCGAAGTCCCGCGCGAGAGCACTGTCACCGTCGGCAGCCCCAGACCCGTATCGGGTCGTGACAAAAATACGGCGGGATGTGTTGACAGTTCTCAGTCGGCGGCGAGCGAGGGGGGGAAGTGAGAAGGAGAAGGTCTTCCCAGAAGGCGGCGGGACTTAACAGAAGCCTTCGCGCCTTCTGAGATGCTTTTTGACTTCGTGGAAGGCTGGGGGACTTCCGAGCCTTCTGAGAAGGCCCGCCCCCTTCTCACCTCCCCCCCTTCGCTCGCAGCCGACTCAATGCTCGCGTTGAGAAGCCGGCCTCATGGAAGGGGTCCAGACCTCCTGGGGTCCGCGTCGTGCGCAGACTGGCGTGCGCATGCGAACGCAGCCATTGGGGCCTTCGGTGGAGCTCCCTGTGGGGCCACGAAGCGTGTGCGGGGTGTGCCGAAATGGGTGCGGTGGGTGCGGTGCGGTGGGTCCGCGTCGTGCGCAAGCTGGGCGTCGGAGGTCTGGGGTCCTCGCCGTCGGCGTCCTCGGCCTCGTCGTCGTCCTCTTCGGAGGGCGCTCTTGAGAGGACGGGTCGACGCGGAGGAGGAGCAGGAGAATGGCGACAATGAGGAGGAGGAGGAGGAGGCGGAGGAGGAGGAGGAGGGAGAAGGGAGGAAGAGGAGGAGAGGGAGGGCGAAGAGGAGGAGGAGGAGGAGGCGGAGGAGGAGGAGGCGGAGGAGGCGGAGGAGGCGGAGGAGGAGGAGGAGGAGGAGGAGGAGGAGGAAGATCAGGCATCAGGAGGAGGGTCGCGACGGGCCTCGCAGAAAGAGAGCGGCAAAGGGAAAGAAGGCGGGAAGAAGAGAGGATGGGCCATGCGATTGATGGGAAACGGTGCTGGTGCACGTGGCCCCTGGAAGAATCGGCGGCGAGCGAGGGGGGGGAGTGAGAAGGAGAAGGCCTTCTCAGAAGGCGGCGTGACTTCTCAGAAGCCCTCCGGCCTTCTGAGCAGTTTTCTGTGTCTTGGGGGAAGGCCTAGGAAATTTCTCAGAAGGCCGGGTGACTTCCAAGCCTTCTGAGAAGGCCTTCTCCTTCTCATTTGCCCCCCTCGCGCGCCGCCCAATATGGCACCTGGAAGAAGAGATACCGAGCTGAACTTGCGTACAACGAGCATGATGTTGCGCGTGCACGGTGTGAGGCTCATGCTCTTTCGTGCTCGGCAAAGGAATTTTCCGGAGCGGCGCCTGGGCAGTTCGCTTCCAGATCGCAGGGCATGGCACCTTCCTGCAGGAGCCCATCCCTTCGTTCGAGGCTGAGGCCATCGCCGTGGCCATGGGCGAAAGCGTCCAAGCCACCGGCGATGTGTACCTCGCATGGCACCCGGCCGTCAGGATCCTTATTTGCGCCTTGAGGCAAGCGGAGCGAAACGAAGTGAGATCGAAGGGCGGGAGGAAACGGAGGAGGAGGGAGGACGACCGTCGAAGAAGAGGGCGAGGCTTAATTTGGTACAAATGAATATCATGGCCCAGGCCATGATATCTCCCACATTTCACCGGCCTTTGTATTTTCTGCCCACACGGACGTCTCTTGGCCCTCTCTCGTCCGCACATACGCCTCGGGCCATGATGTGTTACGGTCAAGAAGGTTTGCGTAGCGTGTCGCGCCGCCAGGTCTGGCGCACCATGCATCGGCGCGACCACGCTCCAGTTCCCACGCATCAACATTCCGAGCTTGTCCCAGCCTCCTGCCCCGCGAAGCGGAGCTGCCCGCCATCAGCTTGCAAGGCAAAGCGAGTCGCAGGGGCCGGCGCCGCCGCAACGCGCTGAGCAAAAGTTCGTGGCTGCAACTCCCCTCTCCGAGGCCCCCTCGTCGGCGCACCGCGGCGCTTCGGAAGATGCATGGGTGCCAGGAAGAGCGCCAGAGGCTGGGATTCGGCGGCGCACGATTGGGCTGACGCTCCGGCCCCAAGAGGTGACCGAAATGTTGCGGAGAATTACGATGAGGAGCCTCACGGCACATGTTCCGTCAATTAAAATGTTTTGCAGGGCGCCCGAGAATCCCAGCGGGGCCCAAAGGAGATCGGGGAGTCTGAAGTTTCCTCAGGGGCCGGCTTTTCACACCGAACACGAACTTTCCATGGGGGGACATTTCATCCCAGACTTTCCTCGCTTAAAAAACATGGTGAGGTTTTCTAATTTTCCGGCGTCTAGACTCCGTCCGTTATCGGGCCTAGGACAATCAAAAAGCGATCCGGGGCGAATAAGACAAGCTCCCCAGGAAGGGGTGGCGAGCCCTGGGGCCCGCAAACAAAATTCAAGGCCCTGTGGTGGTCTGGGCACAGTCGGCACGCGAAATGAACATCAGTTTGTCAACAGGTCTCCCACGGAAATGTCTTATCCTCCGAAGGCCCGATGGACCCATAATTGTCTGAGGGGCACCTTAGGAAGTTTAACACGAAGGACGGCGAGTGTGCTCCTAGCCCTGATCTTGTACAGCAATCTGCCTCGTCGTGTGCACCTACTGCGCCTACCCAGGGTAGAGTTTGCCCATGCATTGTTGTAAGTTGGGGGTGTGAGAGCGTGCGCGGGATTGCGCGCTCTGCTTTGCGGCTGCTACGCAGCCGTCACGGTGTACACCAATGCGTCTGCGCACGAGGCGCCTATCTTGCTGGCATCCTCGCACCGGGCCCCGTCCTGGCCCGAGGGTGCCCCGGCGCCGCGGCCCGGCAGCTGCCATGGGTCCCGCTGGCGGGGACGGCCGCCCCTGCACAGTCGGGTGAGAAGTCTTCCTCCTCTGAGTGGCCTCGTCCTCCCCCCTCCGCGGCCGCCCTGTCCGTCTTTGCCCCGCTCCTGCACGCTGGCCAATTCGCTTCTCGGCGCCCCCGTTGAACTCCGGCGCTGGTGCAGACAACCCTCTGCCTCGCCGCCGATCACAACGTGTTTTGCTGGCACCATGCAGTGATTCTCAAAGGCTAGCGCTCGAAACAATACCAACATATGTCAGCGCGCCCAGCGCGATTTCTAAATCCTGGGCGCATATGACCCACATGTATATACACACTACATATATACGTAAATCTCACCATCTTGACCGAGACCACGATGATCAATGCGCCATCGTTTTGGCCCACGGTGGCCATGGCCAGGCATGGTGGATCAATGCCTTCGGCATTTGATCCCTGTGGCGGCATTCGATCCTTGGGCTTGGCGGCCTGGCGCGTGCATTTGGCGGGAAGACTCTGGCCAGCGAGGCTTCTTCTGGGAGCCCGCGCACCGGGCTTCCGCAGCTCAATGCCGCGGGGTGCGAGATGCGGGGGGTGCAGACCCACTCCCGTCCAGAGAAAGTCACGACCAACCTTTTCCCCATATCCTAAGATGGGGTTCATGTTATTAGTCGGACGCCGCCGACTCCAGAGAACCAGAGAGAACACACCTACTCGTACACAGACTTACTCATACTCAGAACTACTCATACTCATACCTTCTCATGATCTGACTTACTCAACACAACATGCAGGCCTACTCATACTCAGACTTACTCAAACTGGGACTCCTTCATACCCAGACTTACTCATACCCAGACTCGTTCCCAGACCTGCCCATACACAGACTTACTCATACTCAGACCTACACATATTCAGACCTTCTCATAGTCTGAGCTACTCAACACACGGACTGAGACCTACGCATGCTCAGACCTAGTCATACTCAGATTCGCAAGGGGCGCCGCCAGGGGTGTTTTCACGGGCCCGTTCGCGGCCAGTTCGTGGGGATGTCTCAAGCGGTTTGTTCGTTTTCACGCCCAACATCCTTGGCTTTCAGATCAGATTGTGAGGATGTCTCAGGCGGGGCGCTGGTTTCAGCACCCCTACGGGGAGCCGCCAGGGGTGTTTTCACGGGCTCGTTCGCGGCCAGTCTGTGGGGATGTCTCGGGCGGTTTGCTTGTTTTCATGCCCAACATCCTTGGTTTTCAAGGCAGATTTTGAGGATGTCTCAGGCTGGGCGCTGGTTTCAGCACCCCTAAGAGGAGCCGCCAGGGGTGTTTTCACGGGCCCGTTCGCGGCCAGTTTGTGGGGATGTCTCAGGCGGTTTGCTGGTTGTCATGCCCAACATCATTGGTTTTCAGATCAGGGTTTGAGGATGTCTCAGGCGGGGCACTGGTTTCAGCACCCCTAAGGGGAGCCGCCAGGGGTGTTTTCACGGGCTCGTTCGCGGCCAGTTTGGGGATGTCTCAGGCGGTTTGCTGGTTGTCATGCCCAACATCCTTGGCTTTCAGATCAGATTGTGAAGATGTCTCAGGCGGGGCGCTGGTTTCAACACCCCTAAGGGGAGCCGCCAGGGGTGTTTTCACGGGCCCCTTCGCGGCCAGTCTGTGGGGATGTCTCAGGCGGTTTGCTCGTTGTCATGCCCAACATCCTTGGTTTTCAGATCAGATTTTGAGGATGTCTCAGGCGGGGCGCTGGTTTCAGCATCCCTAAGGAGAGCCGCCAGGGGGTAGGACACGGGCCCGTTCGCTATTATAGTCAAACGCTCATGAACAGACGCTCACGATGGCATGACATAAAACATGAGATGCACATATGGGGAGCTCCACGCAGTGAGTAATTGTTGTTGTTGCTGCTATGTCTGGCCTCTCGGGGGCCACTGCAGGGCCGTCAACAGGACAACGCCCAGGACGAAACGCTGTTCTGGGAAAAGGCTCGGGGACCTCCGCGGGTCCACACGCTGCGCAGAACTGCCGACGTCGGGGGTCAGGACCCGCATCTCAGAACGTCACAACTCTGGTCCTGCCGGGACCGTTGGGCTTCTTCTGAACACCGTCAGGGGCGGCAAAGAGGGGGGTGATGACTAGGGGGGGGATATCATGGCGGGAGCCATGCGATCTCAACAGATTTCATGGCGCCTCTCCTTGCTTCAGTGCGTCCCCGCCCCCCACCCCCTGGGCCGCGCACGTGCCGCCGGCCATGATTTACGCCCCCCCTCTTGGACGCCCCCCTCTTGGACGCCCCCGACACCGGGCGCTGAGACCCCACGAAGGGAGGAGGGAGGAGGAGGGAGGGAGGGAGAGGAAGGGAGGAGGGAGGGAGGGAGGAGGGAGGGAGGGAGGGAGGGAGGGGAGGGAGGGAGGAGGGAGGGAGGGAGGAGGAGGGAGGGAGGGGAGGAGGGAGGGAGGGAGGGAAGAGGAGAAGGAGGAAGAGGAGGAGGAGGAGGAGCGGCGGCCTCGGCCAGAGTGCCCCTCTCCAGGGCGGCGGCCTGGGGGCGCGAACATCACCACGCGCCGCGCATCGCGGGGCGCGAAGCGCGACGAGAGGCTTAGGAGGCCTGACTGCCTCCAAAGTCGCCGGCACGCTCCTCCCTCCTCCTCCTCCTCCTCCTCCTCCTCCTCCTCCGCCTCCTCCTCCTCCTCCTCATCTTCCTCCTCCTCCTCCTCCTCCTCCTCCTCCTCCTCCGCCCTCCTCCGCCCTCCTCTCCGCCCTCCTCCTCCTCCTCCTCCTCCCTCCTCCTCCCTCCTCCTCCCTCCTCCTCCTCCTCCGCCGCCTCCTCCTCATCCTCCTCGTTTCGCTCTCCTCCCTCTTCCTGTCTGTCCTGGTCTTGCAGCCGTTGTGGTCCAGACGTTGCCAGGCCCTGTCGTTGGGGCTTCTGCTCCCCACGGGGTGGTGGGGATCCAGGCGCATCTCGTGCCCGCTGGCCCGGGCTCGTGTGCGGTGTCGCCGCTGCGTGGCTGTACCATCTCGCATTGGCCATGGTCGTGCCGCTCGCGCTCACCGGCGGGGCCGCCGCTTCGATGCCGCCAGAAGAGTCCAGGAAGTACAGGCAGCTGCTCGCAGGCTTGGCTGCAGGCTACTCCTTCGTGATCCTCCTGGCGCTCGTGTCCGGTGCCGTCGGCGTTGTGATTGACGATATGTTCGTGTTTGTTGTGGCGGCATCGATGGCTCGTGATACCCAACGCCTGGGACAGTGCAGCATTCTGTTCATGATCCTAGCGTGCGTGAATACCTTCTTCGACTTTTTCCAGCTCGTCAAGCTGGCCAGCTTTCAGAGGACTGTTGAGCATCCCGGCTTCGAAGACGTCTTCAGCCTCAGCTGCTCCTACGACGCGCACGTCAGGCTCCTCAGGGACACCAGCGTGACCAGCGGCAGCCTGACGATCTTCCTGCCCAAGGGCTACGAGGTGGAGTTCCACATGGCCCAGATGTGCAGCTGGAGGTGGGTGGCCGGCAACGTGGCCCTACTGGCGAGCGTGCTCCTGGACGCGGCCGCCGCCGTGGTCGGCTGCAGGCTGCACCAGGCCGCGCGGGGCGCCACCCGCGGCGACGGCCTCCCGCTGGGCCTCGGCTCCGAGCTCTCCCGCCTGCCGCCCGCCGCCGCCCTCGGCGACCGGGGCGCCGCCCACGGCGGAGGCCCCGGCGCCGGGGCCGCGCCCAGCGGCGGCCGGGGCCTCGCAGCCGCACCGCGCGCGGGCCTCTTCTCGGGCCAGGGGCGGACGCTGGGCGCCTGACGTCGGCGAGCCCTGCGTCGGCGCCAAAAAAACGACGGGAGGAGGAGGAGGAGGAGGAGGAGGAGGAGGAGGAGGAGAAGGAGGAAGAGGGAGAAGGAGGAGGAGGAAGAGGGAGAAGAGGAGGAGGAGGAGGAGGGAGGAGGGAGGAGGGAGGAGGAGGAAGAAGGAGAGGAGGAGGAGGAGGAGGAGGAGAGGAGAGGAGGAGGAGGAGGAGGAGGAGGAGGAGGAGGAGGAGGAGGAGGAGGGAGAAGGAGGAAGAGGAGGAGGTGGAGGAGGTCGGGCGGGGCTAGGACGAGGATAAGACCGTTCCAGGGCGTTCCGGAACGCTCTCAGAGTGTTGTTTAACGCACTGAGAAAGCCGCGGCTCCCGAGACACCATCCAGAGCCGCCGGATGTCCGAGATTCCCGATTTATCCTCACCCGAGTGTGTCCTCGTCTTTGCTTCGTCTCATGTTCGGAGCGATTCATAGGGTCGCCGAACCCAAGTTTGTTTTTGAAGAGCTGTTCTGGCTGGAATAGTGTCCACCGTACCGTACATGTTGCGTGAGTCCATTCCTGTGTTGCAGCGCCGATGCAGAAACTACTGTTGCGGGCCATAGCGGTTGCCTTGGCCTGGAATGTGGTGATATGTGCCGCCATTCATGTTCAGAGCTCCTTGGTTGCCGATGCTCAAAGCGAGGAGGCAACCTCCGGCGCGAGCTCTCAGCAACTCGAGCGGGCAGTCTCAACCAGTATCCAGCAGTATCTACACAAGTTCTTATTGCCGCTTCAAGGATCAGCAGTGCTCACCACAGTTGCATTGCAGATGTCGCCGCTGCCGTCCATCATGGAGATCAGGAGGAGCAAGAGTGTGATACGCTATGACGGCTACCCATACTTCACAGTTTTGGCTGGCGCCACCCAATGGTGCATATACGGAGCATTTTCAGCATGGGAACTGAATGATGTGACGCTATTGACGATGGTAGCAGCTAACGGCCCAGGTGTTGTCATGGGGTTGTTTTATGTATGGAGCTATTTTCAACATGTGCCGTCTGGAGACTTGAGGAGTTCAGCACTCAAACGTTACCTGCAGCTTGGTTGCATGATCCTTTGTATGGAGTGCAGTGCTTGCTATTTATTTGCTCGATCTGCTGTCTTTATGTTGGGAATGTTGGGGTCTGTAGGGTCTGCTCAAATAGCGTTATCCCCCTTCAAGACTTTGCCCGAAGTCATCAGCACTCGCTCAACAAAGTCTTGGCCATTAGATCTTTGTCTGTGGAATTTCTTCCAGTCCGTGGCGACAGGTGGGTTTGGCATTGCGAACAGTGATGCATATGTGTGGGTACCAAATGCAATCGGAGTCATTGCTGCCATCGTGCAAGTGACATTCATTCTGATGTTTTGGTCTTCTAAAGAAGCGGTCGAATCAAGCAAGAAATGTTTACCCTAGAAAACAATATATTTGCAATCGAATGTGTCATTGTAGGCAGTAGGGACGTAGCATGGCGTAGTTCTGACTGTTCTGTGGCTGGTGGATCGGAGGAACGTGGCGGCGGTGCGAAGGAAAACTACTGGAGATATTTAAGGCGTTGTGCTATGAGGCCGTCAGGGAGGAACCCCTTGAACCAAGACGCACAAAGTACTGACGCCCCGCGTATCCCCACCAGCCTATCCAGAAACGACGCCTGAGCGAGCTGCATTGATCACAAAAGCGAGGGAGTACGCAGAGGAACAACGAGGGGGGGCGGGGGTGGGGGGCAGCCGCCAGACCCAAGAGCGGGACCAGCCCGAGGAAGCTTTGGGGTCAACCATAAATTCATTCGCGGATCTGTCCATCTGGCAGCCTAGTGGCAGTTCGCGTGGGCAATAGTAAGGGCCTCCCGTGGCCGTTTTGGATACATTTCGGGCTCTAGTGTCTCCGTCTTGGGCCCTGTTAGGGCCCTGGTGGGGGCCTTGGGGGCCATCGTGGAGGACATTGAGAAAGAAGGTGGTCCTTAATTGAAAAGTCACACCTTGGAGCTCCCTTGGGCCGATGCTGGAAGTCTCTTGGGTGCTCTTGGGGCCGTCGTGGCACACATTGGCGCCCTATTGGGCTTCTTGTGGGCCATCGCGAGCCATCTTGGAGCCATCTTGAGGCTTCCAAAGCCCATCGGACGCAAAAAAACAAGAATGCAGACGCCATTGATATCTGATAGGTTGCAAATGATTCTGGCCCCTTTGGAACGTCCTTGAAGAACTCCGTGGCAAGTTCTAGCTGTCTGGCTGCTGTCTTGGGGCCCCTTGGAGTATGTTGGAATCCATCTTAAGCGATCTTGGACTATAGTGTTCCATCTTGGACCCTCTTGGGCTGCTCGGGGCCCGCTATGAGCCATTTGGGGCCATCTTGGACGCTCCAACGCTTCGCGAAACGCCCCGTCCAACCCAGGGGGACTGGGGAGGGGGCCGAAGGGAAAGAATGGGATTGGAAGAGGAAACTCAAGCCATTTCCGCCCAGAGGGCTGGTGGGAATATTCATGGCACTTGTTTCGCAAGGGTGAGGAACAGAATGCACGATTAAACAATTGCGTTCAATAGCCGGGTAACACGAACGAACATACGGAGACGAGTGTTGTATTGCGGAGTCGCAGGGAAGCCACATCACACAGCAAATACGTATTACTCTGTTTCTCGTTTTTTTCAAACGGTGGACACCCTCAACAATGGCAGCATTATATCCAGCGAAGAGGCCCAGTATGGTTTTTCAAATACAAAACAAGGATTCCGCGGGACCCAGGACCCATCTTGGGCTCGATGAATTCGACCTCGTCTTTTCAAAAATAATCGGCAAATCATTGTTGCGCCGTCTGTCACGCAGCGCCACGACGAATTAGCGCGGCACGGCCGTAAGCTGCATGATTGAATGCGTTGCCTTTTGGGGATGTCTCCGTGGCCTACTGGAGGCATCTTGGGGACCCCATCGAAGGCTTCTGAGGGAGTTTCTTGGCCTTGTTTGGGATATTGGGGCTGTCTTCGACCTCATGGTTCTACGGAGAGCGTCCGAAGAACTTGGTGGAATTATGATGACGGCACGGTTGTGGATCTTGGAGTCGCCAGGACGGGTACAGGGGCCATTTTGTCGCTTTTGGGGGGGGCGCCCTTGGCCGCCTTTGCCTAACTCGGGGTCTCCTCTCGCTGTCTCAGGGCGTGATTGGCCCGTCTTGGCGACTGCCCTTAACGATGTTTCGAAGCTGTCTTCAGCACCACACCGCGCAAAGAGACCCCACACGGCAACGCCACGCGAGAACACGCCCGGTGCGCCGACGCTCTCGAGGAGGGCGAGAGCTCCGCGCGGGCGGCCAGGTGCCGCAGGCAACCCGGGCACGGCACGGCTCGTGCCCCGCGGGCACGGCACGGCACACTTGCCTCCTCTTCCGCCTCCTCTTCCTCCTCCTCCTCCTCCTCCCTCGTCCTCCTGGGTACGCTGGGCTCCTCCCTCGTCCTCCTCCTGCTCCTCCTCCTCCTCCTCCTCCTCCTCCTCCTTCCGTAGCCATTTTGGCTCAAGGCCAAAATGGTGTTCATTTCATTGCCTTCGCGGGGTAGGCTCCCACAGTGCTTCGATCAGCTCTCGGCGCCACTGCACGGGCCCTGCGCCAGCCCTCGCCCCTCCATATCTAAGTCCCGCGCGGCCGCGCCCGCGGGCATTCCATATTCAGCGCTGCGGCGCATCGGGCACGCCGTGCTCTTTCTTGTGGTGCAGCAGCAGACGGTGGCGTGCTCACTCGCCCCGCTCCTGTACGTGCGGCAGGTGGTACCCTCGACCTCACGGCTCGCTGGCATAAAATTGGACCCGCTCAGTGGCAGCAGACTGGCAGCAGTTCCCTCGCAGCTGAAGATATGGGAGAATCCAGTTCCAGTACTTCCTCGTCCCGTGGACCTCGCCGACGTCATCAAGCTACCCGTGATCGACGACGGGATAACAGTGACTCCAAGAGTCGCAGCGGCCCCGACAACAGTGCTGAGCGCCGCCATCGTCGACGCCGAGACCGCCGCGAACATCGGGGAGACGACCGCGGGGCTGACGACAAGGATCGGGAACAGGACCGAATACCTCGCAGGGACGATCGGGAAGATAGAGAGAACGGTTCAGGTGCACGCGTCGCTCGGAGATCTGGACCTTCGGCAGCACGCAAGGACACGGTTGCTGAACGAGACCCTTGGCAAGCGGCCGCGGGTTCTATGCGATGTGCTGGAGCTAGTGGGGGACCTGCTCGAACTCATGAGCCGCAGCACTACCCACTTTCGCCGCGAGCTGCGCAACAAGTGCTACGCGACATGGAGCTCATGCCTACATTTCCTGACGGTGAATTACCTGCAGCAGGCACGCCTGTCGGTGGACTTCCTACCCCACGCGCTGAAGATGACCCCCCTCCTGCTCATGGTGATCTGGCTAGTCTTGAGCAAAGGCTGGCGACACTGGGTAAAGAACAGATTGCATCGGCGACGAAACAACTCATGGCGACGGCGAATTCCCTCATTGCAAAGCAGCAGCAAGCCTTCAGCGCACAGGTGGCAGAATTCTTGGCAGTCAGCAAACAAAACGCCGCTCACCTCGAAGTACATGACAAAGGCATCCATGAGCTCCAGGCCAGAGCTGACAAAGTGGAAGCAGAGCAGGCCAAGATGCGGCAGCAGATCAGCGCAATGGAACAGACACTGGCAATGGCGGAGGCTGCCGTCCCCTTCGATGTTCAGAAGCTCGCCACATGGGACCGCGTCCCGGACCCCACAGTATTCAGCATCGGCGCCCCCAGGGCGATTGCACCAGCTGCCATCAAAGCAGCGCTCGCGGAGTGGATTCAGGCGTCGGGTGTTCCAGTGGACCAGCTTATTCTTCACGGTGATGTACCTCAGCGGCGATTTCATATGCAAGTTCAAGGTGGAGCAGCAGCACATGGGCGAGCCCTCGCTCTCTCTCGTGCCCTCAAGACGTCAACTGGCTTCCGCACCTTCAGCGGGTTTGACACCGGTGGGGTCAACACGCCCATCTATGTCAGCGGAGACAAGAGCCCCAAGCAGGTCAGACTCGAACTTCAGACCAAGCGTTTGCAGCGCATCATTCAGGACGCATACCACGATCACCACATCGGCGCCCAGAGAAGCAAGGGCATTGTCACCATTGATGCAGTGCCGCTCGTCGTTGTCGAAGTCAAGGGCCCTGATGAACCATCCAAGCTACGCTGGGACATGCCAATCCTCGCACGATTCAAGATTGACAAACAACCTCTGGTGGCTGCATTTGGACAGGCATTCGCGAGCGTGGACACATCTTCGTGGTCTATTTAGCAGAAGGTGGTCACCCTGGTCAACATCACCGTCAATGCGCAATGGTACCATCATATCGTGGAATGCCAGGAGTTTGATTTGCTATCGTCCAAGGCGCCGCAAAGCCAAGATGAACAAACTTGTCTCGTTCATGCGTAAGAAAGCGGTTATCTTATTGCAGGAATGCCGTGGAACACTACCTAAATTGCAGGCGGCCCTCGCTACGTATCCATACCCTTACAAGATCTTCTACAATCACCTCTCGCAGAAGGCGGGAGGCACAGCATTCTTGGTGCCAATGGCAGATCGTGACCAGGAGGACCCTCAGGTGTTCTTTGACCATCAGATATTGGCCGCGGGAAGGGTGGCCCTTCTCACAATACACAACGCCGCCGACAACTTCACGATGAAGATCATGAATGTGCACAACTTCGAGTTGGACATCATTGCCCAGACCAAGATTGCGCACACATGGAAGGACATGGTTCAATGGAATATTGAGAACCCTGTTACTAGAGCGTTTGTGGCTGCTGGAGATTTCAATGTCAAGTCAGGTCCTACACGTAGCTACACCGATCCTGTTTCTCAGACATTCTCGCCAGGAACGCTGCCTGCTGAGACGGCTCGGGGCACTCAACCTTTGCAAGCGTTCTGGGAAAGACTCTTTGCGATGGTTACGGAGATCTCCACGGACTGCCCTACACATTACTGCAGAGATACGTCCACGGCGGCTACACTGGATAGGTTCTTCATTGCCACCCCAGCGTACTACCTGCTCGACGTTGAGGTGATCGCGGAGGTGGATATTGATGCTGCCGCCATCTCGGACTCCAGGCTCAGCGACCACACGCCGATCACCCTGCATCTTAGGGATCGAGCCCGCCAGAGTGAACAGACAGGCATACCAGAGCACGTCCTTCGAGATCCGCGCTATGGTGAAATTCTCGGTCAGCTTCTCGATGCTGCACAACTACATCGATTTCCTGCGGTCTACCAGTGGAGATGCATGAAGGACTTCATGTCTGAGGCGGCACGCCAAGTCCGCAATGAGTTGCAGCGCATGCCGATTTCCGCCAAGGACCCTCGTGCCAAGGGGGGGCGCCTTATCACGCTCCGAGCTATCTCACGATGTGTCTGGCGCAACGATGTTGGCACCGCCTACAAGCTGATGGCCACCACGGCCGACGGCGAGCGCTTCCTGACCGTCTCCAACGGCTGCGTCGAGCTCGGCGAGCGGCAGGAGTTCGGCGCCTTGATGCGTGCCATCAACTACGACTACCAGATGAGGGAGGCATTGCACAAGCTGCTCAGGCTCCCGCCGAACAGCCTCAGCCTCGCCGATCTGAATGCCCTCCCATCGTTTTTAGCCATTGCCCCGTCCTCTGTCCAGCTGCTTGGCTGGGCTAGTGCATGGCGTACATCATTTCGCACACTGAATCATGTTTGGCAGAGAGCGTTGTCTAGCCTGAAGCAGCATGCGCAGGACAATGCTACCATCGTTCGCATTATTGCAGGAAAGTTCTCGGCACCGTGCTGGCGGCGACCATTTTCAATCGCCCAATTTCTAGAACGTTCAAGGTTGCCGCCTCCTCGCTTCCCTAATGCTGCTGGGTGGCGAGATGCATTTCGAGCAGCGCGCGAGCACACCGCACGTGCGGAACAGGAAGCCCTTCGCCCTCATCCGCAGAGGATATTTGCACGCACGCTCCGCCCATTTGCCTTTCCCGATTCCTTTCACACCACTCTTGGCAAGAGGCTGCTCGCTTGGCAAGTGGAGATTCCTGGGGGGCTGAGGTCGGTCGTTGGGAGGTGGGCTGCATGCAAAACTTGCCTTGCGACCCTCAAGCCGTCCTGGCAGTGGAGCATTTTCAAAACGCTGTGTGGCGCGTGGACGACCACCCACAGACTCCATATCGGGCACCCCCCAACCAGCTGCGTCTGGGGGTGCACTGCCCCAGATGCGATATCGCACTATTTGAACTGCCCAAGATTATATTATCATTGCGCCTGCCACCCAGCATGGGCACGCAGGCACTTTCCAGCCAGCCCGCTCACTCTCCTAGGCCTCGGGGAAGAGAGCGATTATCAGATCGAAGGCGCCGAGCTCAGTCGAGCCGAGTGCCTTAAGGCGACAGCACTTGCCTTCCAGATGTACCATAAAGCGCCGAGGGCGCAAACTATGACATTGCAGCAGGCCACCGACATTCGAGGTGCCGCAGAGTTGGCACTCGAAAGATAAGCACGTGCCCTCTTCTTTATTCGTGTTGGGCCGGTGTGAATATCAGGGGTGGGGGTCACATTCATAACCTAGCTTGCTGTGCGATCGAGGGCTCTCTCGCACAGCGCCGCGTGCACTCTCAATCTCTCGGTGGGGCTGGGGCAGGACGGGCATGGGTTGGATGTGGGATTGACAGAGGCACCAGAGGCGTTGGCATGTTGCGGTCGATGACTCTCCCGCAGTGCCCTGCGCCTCTCGGCTCATTCTTTAGGGGGGTGGGGCCTGTCATGCAATGACAGGCTCTGTCCTTCCACCCTCCTTTTTTTTTTTGCCCTCGTTCGCGAGGCGAATCTCCTCACATCTGGTCTGCTGCGAGCGCCATTTTTTGCGCGGGCCCTCCTGGTGGCGGAAGTGGCAACGGGTTGCGACGCCCTTCGGGAGGCCGAAAATGAACCCAAGCGCCACCCAGCTGGGACCCGCTCTCCCTCTGTCGATGCGTTCGCGTCGACCGAGGTCGAGGTTGGCGGTCGGACGGACCTTCTTGGTTACGTCGTCTCCTCCTCCTCCTCCTCCTCCTCCTCCTCCTCCTGGGCGCAGCACGGCACGCGGGCACGACACTGCAAGGTCGTCTACATTCATGTCCGGGCATGGCACGGCTCGGCGTGCGGGCACGGCACGGCACGCCTGCCGCGCGCCAAAAAAATTTGGCCACTTCGCGGCACGCGGGCACGGCGCGGCCACGTCGTCCATATGTGTTTGTGTTTAGGCACGGCATCCGCCCCGCTTTCGGCCGCGTCCTTGTCCCTCCCCCTCCTGCATCCTGCCCAGGAACTCGCTGACGAACTCCCCGTAGGTGGCAGGGCGTCGTAGTTTCGGATCGATGTAGGGTTGAGCGAGTCCGAGATCACGTCGAAGGGCTGCTGCTTCTCCAGGTGGGCGTAGCATGTGGGCCTTCCAATCCTGCAGCCACAAGCGGTAGTACAGTTCGCCCTAACGGCACCGCCGTTTGGGCCTTCCCGCTAGCGCAGACGACCCATACCTCGCCGCCGGCGCAAAAAAAACATAGGCACGGCAGGGCACGCGGGCAGGGCACGGCATGGCACATATGTTTCGCATTCTAGGGACGTCGGGCGGGCATTGCATTGCAAGGCACGGCGAGTTTGCCGAATGGTAGAATTTGGGCACGGCGCGGCACGCGGCGGGCGCGGTGCGGTGCTCGTCTTCGCATTATACAACTTGGGCATCTTGGTCACATTCAGATCCTAGGCACGGCACGGCACCACACATTCACTTGTCGCATGCCAGACTTTGGGCACGGCGCGACGCCTGGGCTCGGCACGGCGCATTTTCCACAGCTTACCACCTACGCACGGCGCGGTACATCTCTCGCAGTCTGGAGCCTAAGCACGGCACGGCACTCGGGCACAGCACGGCACGGTATGCCAGCGCCACATGTCTCGCGCTCTGTTGTTGAGAACCTTGCTTCTTGGATGCAAGCAGCATTCATTCGCTGCGCATCGGAAAACAAAAAAGGCAAAAACATTATGAGGGCTTTTCGAAATCCTCTTGACTTTTTTCCGCGTTCGGGCTGTTCCATTCTTGATGGGACAAGGCGGGTGCGATTCCTCCAAGGTTAGTGTGTTTTCGCGCCCTGGCCGTGCTTTTATTTCTGGGGCAGTCCAACTGGTCCAGCTGCAACTCCTTCCGGTTTGGGCTTCTATGGGCAGTCGTGGTTTTGTTGCCGAAAGATTGGTGTATTTAGTTCCGAGCACGGTCTCCCCTGATCGAGATGAAAGGAGCAGCAGGAGCAGAAGAGGAGCAGCAGGCAGCCATCGGACAGCAGGGCTGTCCTGTCAATGTCCTGACCAAGATCGCCCCTCTGCGTTGTGATTTGTCACGACGCGGGCCCTGGGTGGTCTGGACCTTTTCCCCGGCGCCGGTTTCTCATCCTGGGTAGTTTCTGTCGGCCCGAGGGCTCGGTGAGGGCCCCTTGAAGGCCGAAGATGGCCAAACACTGTCCAGACGCAGGGAGGTCCGGGGAGAGAACTGGCATCAAGCGGCGTGGCGGGCGCAGCTCGACTACACGCAACAATGGCCCCAGGCTGGAGAAACCTTGTCTAGGCCTCCCTGATGGGGTCCGAGCAGATGGGGTCGGAGGATCGCGCCGCATCGCTGATGCATCGACGGTGCGGCTCGATGTGGAGCCCGATTCTCCCCATGCCGACGTCGCGGATGTGTCGCCGACGTCGCCGATGCATCGGCGATGCATTGACGATGCGGCGCGATCCTTTAACCCCATCTGCTCGAACCCCATCTAGGAGACATTTCGTGCGCGGCTTCAGTGTCTAACGCAACCGCGCCAGCCAGTGCTGCTGCGCCGCATCAACGATCGGCGGGACGCGCCTCGAAAGATTCTTCGCGCCACCGGGCAACCGCAGAATTCCGCTAATTGGATTCGAACGCCCCGAATGGTGCCCCTAAGGCGCTGCGGAAGCAGACGCTGCTGGGGGCCATCACGATGAAGTCTGGCTCTGCCGGGCCGCGTCGCGATGACGTCTTCGCCCGAGTGACCTTTGGCGCGGACCCACTCGGCTCCCCCGATCGCCGAACGCGATGCGAGAGTAAGCCTTAGGCGTTCATGCCCGGTCCCCCCACGGCCCCTAAAAAGCCGCGCACCAAAGGTCACTCGAACCCAGGGTCACTCCTAAGTGCAGCCGATTTGCAGATTTTGCATTTGTAAAGATCCCTGCTCGGAAAGATATCCAAAGGTAGTCAGGCAGGACGATTTGGGATTTGGGCCGGGATTCGGGACCGGTCCTGGGGCGGAAAACGCGCCGCCTGGTCGACCGGCCCCACCCCTCGGGAAACGAATGCGCACTTTAGAGTGCGCCGCGTATGCGTTGCGGTCGATTGCGAGGGGGGGAGGGGAAGCCAAGCCTGGCGCGTTCAGATGGAAGCGCAACCACGCGCTGCGGGTGCCGACGCGAGGTCGAGGGTTTGAAATAAGAATTGGATGCCAGCTGTAACGATACCGAAAAACAAAAAACAAAAAAAAACTAATCTTTTTAGGGCTATAGGGTTGTAGGGCTATAGGGCTATGGGGCTATAGGGCTACAGGGCTATGGGGCTATGGGGCTATAAGACTATAGGGCTATAGGGCTATAGGGCTACAGGCACCCGGGCACCCAGGCACCCGGGCACTACATGGACATCACCAACCAGGTACTGCCGAAAGTTGAGAATGTATCTTGCTACATCCACATATGCCATTTCCAGATTCGCTAGAGACGCGTATCTTTGAATCGCCTTTTGGAGAATGTGTTCTTGTACAGGCCGATGTCAACAACCATTCGTGTTGACACCCTGGACTTGGAATCCTTATTGTGACAATCATGATACGACGCCGTGTCGGCCCCGTACCCCAAAATCCCACAACGTCGGGTAATAGTTGTGGAAAGTATCATTCGTAAGAAACCTATGTACACCATGCATGTTTGCGCGACGTGTCCCAACCACTTGAGGTGCATCGTTCAAACCCGTTGCATCCCAAATTTTGGATTTGTTGAACCCAGATCACCGATATTGCAGTAGGTTCCAATGGCCCAGTCGCTCGTAGCATGGATCGGCATTGTATCCAGCATTTGCAGAAGGAGATACTTGTTTACGCTTCGCGAGTGCCCACCAGCCCATTCAGAGGCTCTGCCTATGAGAGTTGACGGGAAAGGGGACGAAGAGACACGTATAGTGAAACAAAACGTGCAAGGAAAGGAGAAGGAGAAGGGTGTTAAGCCATCTTGGAGGCTATTTTGGAGCATCGGAGGCCTGCTTGGAGCTACGGAGCTAGATTGGGGGGTCTTCAGGTCCTCTTTGGGCTTTGTCGGTGTCTTGGGCTCCTCTTGGGGCTCTTTTGGGGCGCCTATGGGGCGCCTCCTGGGGCGTTTTTGGAGACCATCGATCCAAGGAGGTGGGGTCCTCGATTTCCCTCCCCCCTCCGGGGCCATCGCAATAGCCTCTTGGGACGCTCTTGCGGCCCTCTTGGGGCGATTTTGGAGTCTTGGGAGCCTCTTGGACTCTTCTTGGAGCTCTCTTGGGCCATCTTAGGGCCATCTTGAGGCCTCAAGGGCAAAAATCCGTGATTTCCTCAGGTTGTTGAAGGATGCTGGCTTCTCGGAGATGTCTTGGGGGGTGTCCAATAGCACCTGGAATCGTTGTGTGGCCCTCTTGGAACTCTTGGAGGCATGTTGTTAGCTATGTTCGGCGATCTTGGAGGCCATCTTGGGCGACTCTCTGCCAGGTCCAGGGGAGGGAGTAGGGGGAGCGGTAAACCCTTCTCCAAAGGAGAAGAAAGGTTTTTCTGAAAGAAAAACATCGTTTGACCACTTGCACAGGGCTGGTGGAAATTACTGGCTTCGCCCAAAGCGGACATAGGCAGGAAAAGTCTGAGGAACCGTATTGTTGGTGATATGTACGTGGAATAATATGTGGAAGTCGTTGGCGAGTTGTTTGCATCGCGAATTCTTGTAACAAAGAATTCTAGACGCTTCGCGTATCCCCACCAGCCCGTCCAGAAACGACGCCCAGGCAAGTAGAGGGTCGTCCTGAGGGGCTTTTCGGCGTCTTGGGTGCCTCGGGGGGGCCTCTGTGGGCCGTTCGGGATCCTCTTTGGGGCCTCCTGTGGGCCTCTTGGGGCCTCTTGGGGCCATCTTGGGGCGTTTGGGGGCCTCCTGGGCGCTTCTTGGGGCCTCCTGGGCGCTTCTTGGGTGCCTCTGGGTGGTCTCTTGGAGCCTCTTGGGGGTCTCTTGGGGGCCTCCCGGGGGCCTCTTGGGGGGCATCGGAGCCATCTTGGAGGAGATCGATCAACGAAGGGGGGTTCCCTAATTACAGTCCCCCCTCAGGAGCCACGATCCTCGTTGGGGGTGTCGAATTTTAGCCCTCCCAGGGGTCGATCTTGGGCGCTCCAACGCGCCGCGGAACCCCCTGTCCAGGTCAGCGGGGAGGGGGTAGGGGGAGGGGTAAACCCCTCCCTGAAGGGGAAGAAGGAGGGGTGGAAGAGGAAACGCTCTAAACCACCGACGCCCAGAGGGCTGGTGGGATTCCTCACCGTCCTCCTCGTCATCGAAGTCGCTTTGAGTTTCAATGTCGCATGAAAGCGCGCGACTTAGCTAATGAGGTAGTCGAAATCACACTGGGCGGAGTCGCTGGAATGGTTTGCGTTTGTTGGTATTTTTATTGGCGTTTATTCTTCGTCGGGATACCATCAGAAGGCCAGCGATTGGTCATGAATTCGATGGGACATTCGCTGGAATCGTTGTGAACGGCGTCGAAGGTCGTGGATCATATGTTGATTTCCCGACCCCCCGGGCCCGAACACCAGGAGAACAAAAAAAAGCCTATTACCAAGCCGTCTCTGATGGAGTGGATCGTTCGTTCCACAAGGTTCACGCGGTTCAACAATGGGTGGACGAGGCCCGTCGCCATATTCAGTGATGTCTACGTCGTTCATTTCGCCCATAACATAATGGAATTTGCCCTCGACGTCGACCAGATTGTCGGAAAGCCGTGGACAAGCGTAAATGGAGGCGGGCATGGGCCGGATTGAGGCTGGTGGTTTGGGAGGTTTGTTTGCACGGCTAACTCAGTGCATGAGTTTTGCGAATCATTTTTTCTTCTGCCGTTATTTCTGCTTTTATCCTGCGAGACGGGGGATACGGTTCTAATATGAAATGAGTAATTACCCGAAGTGAACTTGAGAACACGGGCCCGCTTATGTTAATAAGCGTTGTCGTGAAAATTGAAATCAAATATCAGTAAGGGATCCCACGCGTATTGGGGAGATCTTGGGTACGTAATTTCACTGAGATGTAATCATGATGAGATATTGAATGTTTATTGCAAACCGGACTAGGCAAAACAATGACGGTGGCCGCAACGGGTTTATTCATCCAATATTTGTTTCGATTGGTGAGCTTCACGAATTTCAATTCAGTTTAATAACAACGAGTCTTCTTTCCATCGTTACGATTATGGTTTTGAATAGTTGCCTACGGACATTT